TATTCATCATGTGTACAATAGGAAAAAAATCATTAAACCCCTAAAATAATTGCTCCACAAAATAATACCCTACTATACATTATAAGAGAGAATGTATAGTAGGGTATTTTTTCCTGTCCACAAGTACCTGTGGGGGAAGGGTGCCTCTTTGAAAATTATGACTTTCATGGCCCCAGGAGTTCTGGTGTTACTGGGTTCTATTAAATAATTATAGAGTGAAAATGCAATAATTCTTAGAAATTCTTCTTTTCTGTTCCTGCATGGTATTAGACAAACTAACTACATGCATACTTATGCTGAGCATGGATCATTCACCTAAAATTGTGAATTCCAAAGACCCTGGATCAGGGAATCATAGAGGACCTGGGGGCATTCTGATTATTGCTGATCAATATTACTGCATGATTAGCTGAAATGATTTTTTTGTTCCCCTACTCTGTCTAAGGGTATTATAAGTAACCAAACTAAACATGTTAAGTGTATAGTTATGATGAGCAATGGTGCCTCTTTCAAAATTGTGAATGTTAGGCCTCTGGTTTAAAACATAAACCAAGTTCAATTGCTTGAAAGTTGCTGCATGATGCTCAGGTGACCTATAACGCCCATGGGCCTCTTGTTATTTTTACATTGAAATTTATCGGAAAACTCTTTAAATATCTTCTTCTTAAGAACCACTGGGCCAGAAAAGTTGAAATATGTAGAAGCATCCTGGGGTAGTGTAGACTCTAAATTGTTCAAATTGTGACCCCTGGGATTGATTGGGCAAGGTCAAGATAGGTATTACAAAGGGGGAAATCTGTTTAATAACAGAATGACCAAAGCTACTCAGGTTAGCGATGTGGCCCATGGGCCTCTTGTTTTAAGGGGACGAAGGATGTATGGTCACGTGACTCAGTTTAATCACGTCATAATCTCTGATGAAATATGTACAAAACCAGATTGAAACCACAGTATTTGTAAAAAAAAAAATGACTGTTTGTTTGAGTTCACCATCTTTTTTAGAAATATCAAAAACATTCAAACTTTCTTGCAAATATTTTCAAATTACGGGATAGATTGATCCACTCTTCTGTTTCCCTACACTGCGTGTCCAACGAGTCGCTGACGTCATAGTGGATCTTAGTACAGATTATGTATAGGTTACATCATAGAAGCCGAGTAGTATTGATTATATCGTTTTCATGGGGCGTGGAAATCGAGGGCGCGGAGCGCCCGAGATTTCCACGCCCCATGAAAACGATATAACCAATAGTACGTCTATGATGTAAGCAACTTGTCGCATGTCTGATGACGTAAATTTCATTGAGAGTGTCAAAATTCAATAAAAAAATATTCAGCGTGTCATGAACTTAAGATTCATTTCAAGCAAGCTCTCCAACATGTCGGACGTTCTTAGTGAATTTGATTTGACTTTTTAACTGAGTTTTAAGATTTTGACAATTTATCTTCGAGCCAGGCACTCGACAAATATGAAATCACAGAGGCAAATATCAAGGGGCGTATTTGATTTGTCAACTCTAGTGTCGAGTCGGGTTGATATTGAGCATGCGCACAAACAAACGCAGTCTCTTTTTAATCAAATGACAAGAACAGGACCCGAGTGTTCTAAAAATGGACGCTGTTTTGCCTTTTTTTATCGACGAGTTTTTAGAAAACGAGGAAACGGATGATATTCATGTTATTGGGGAAAACAACGACTATGTACTTTTTATTTCCTGTCTACCCACGAACATCAGATGTGATGTAGCCAAAATTGATAAATTTGTTGAAGAAATAATACCAAGTATGAATATCAGTGAATTTAAAAAACATTTTCGATTGTCTAGAGACATATATGACATTCTTCTGCTTGAATTAGGACCATCACTTAAATATAGAGAACGTAATATGGGTAGGCCTGCCTTAACTCCTGACAAACAACTCCTGATATTCTTGTGGTACATCGCCAATCAAGATTCTATGCGAGAAGTTGCATGTTTATTTGGCGTTAGCCCTTTCACAGTTCATAGATGTGTTCGCCGGGTCTCAAAGACGTTGTGTGACAAACTTTTGCGAAAATTCATTATTTGGCCTGATCATGATGCCCAAGAACATATATCTCGAGTTATATACGAGTCTAGTGGTTTACAAAATTGTATTGGATTTATTGATGGAACTCATATTGCGTTATCATTCATTCCAAACGGTGATAAAGATTACATTAATCGGAAAGGATACCCATCTATTCAGCTACAACTTGTTGTTGATGACCAGATGATGATAAGAGACACCTACGTCGGGTGGCCCGGCTGCGTCCACGACGCCAGAGTGTACCGCAATTCACCAATTTTTAACCGTTTGGATCATGATAATGGGGTTAACCTTGCACAAGAGAAATATCTAATTGGTATATACTTATTACATTGTATTTATTTCATTGAATAATAATTACCACCGGTATTCCAATATATTTGTGTCTGTTTGCATTTTTGTGCTAATGCATAAATTTTAATTCGAAAAATGTTTTCTTTAGGAGATGCAGCATATCCACTTTCATCATTCATGATGACACCCTTTAGAGCTGTGGGTAATCTCTCAAACGCACAGAAGCTTTTCAATCGCAAGGTATCATCAATTAGACAAACAGTTGAGAGAACAATAGGTCACTTGAAAGGGCGTTTCCGTCGGTTGCGTGAACTTTACTGCATGAATATCGAAGACTGTTGCTACCTCATTACATCAGCATGTATTTTGCATAATTTGTGTGTACTGAAGAAAGACGACATGGATGACTATCTCGAACTAAATCCAAATCAAGCAAACAGAGTGAACTATTATCCCAATATAGGTTTAATGATACAAGATACAAGATTACAAGATTTTATTAATCCAATTTGGGCCCCCGGAGGAGCAAAAAGATTTACAAATAGAAGGAGGAGGATCCAAATGATAGAACAAGCATGATGATGATATTACAAATAAAGAGCAATTGTTAAAGAAAAAACCAAAAAAAAGTATATAAGAGATATACTGAATATACATACATGTATCGTATTCTAAGTTACATACAAATATATATAATTTATACATATATATATATAGTTAAAGGCAAGAAACTGGGAAAGAGGTATATAATTTTTTTATGCTTATCACAATATCTTCAATTAAGGTAAATTACTAAGGAATCCAGCAAGTGATCTAAGGATGTCTGGGTCTTCATTAGTCATGAGCCAATAAAATTGATTATCATAAGATAGAGACTGAAAATTTTTACATTTAATTTTACAAATATTTATGAGTTCAAGTCTTTGTACATTAAGATGAGGACATACAAGGAGAAAATGAATTTCATCCTGAATCTCGTTGTGATGACAAAGTGAACAAATTCGTTCCTCTCTAGGTATTTTTTGATAACGTCCAATTTCAATTTTAAGCCTGTGAGCCGATATTCTTAACTTTGTTAAAACTGATCTATGTTGATTGTTTGTAAGAATATCTAGATAAGGTTCAAAACAAAATTTAGTCTTTATGCTGGTAAAGGTAGACAATTTGCCATCTTTATGTAAATTCCTGTCTTTTTCCCATGTTAATTTATAGAAATTCAGTAATATTCTTTTCAAATTGATTTTAAATTGTGGGGTTGACATACCTAGGAAATCACTAATTTTAATATCAATATGGTTAAGTAAGAAGTTAACACAAGAATACCATGAAGTAAAACCATTTTGGTGTAGTGTTTTAGAGCAGTTAAAAGCCTCACTAAGCAAGGGAAATTCACCATCTAGATTGTCTAATCTATGCCAGTATAACAACATATTTTTAATGACATCAAAATGTAAATTCAAACGTCCTAGCTCAGATCTTACAGCAAAATTGCTGCTTTTACCATGAACCATTAGTAAATGTTTGTAAAATTTAAGATTTAGAATTTCTCCTTCTAAGCTTTGGTATATTTTGTCTAGTGTTATATTTGGATTTCTCTTAAATTTAGAGGTTGTTGGGTAAAAAAAACCCCATAACTCTGAACCATACAGGATAATGGGTTTAATAGTGTGGTCAAATACATTTAAAGCAGTTCTAATTGATGGATTAAATGTGAGAAAGTCTTTTTGAAGTTTGAAATAGGCTTTTTTGGCTTTGTTACAACAATCATTTTTAGCATTACTTAGTGTTCCAGATGCATTAACAGTCAGACCCAGATACTTGTATTGTTTAACACATTCAATATTGTTGTTATCCAGATGGAAGGGAATTTTAACGTGTTTACCAGATGAATTGAAGACTATAATTTTTGTTTTCTTTGTATTAACTTTGAGACACCAGTCCTTACAGTATGTACTTAGTATATCGAGTTTTTCTTGTAGACCTTCAGCAGTTGGGGAGAGAAGTACCATGTCATCAGCATACATTAGGCAATGAATGGACATAGATGAATCATTGTTTAATTTTACAAAACTTTTAGAATTTGACAGATAATTTGATAGATCATTGAGATAAATCTTGAATAGGTTTGGGCTCATGTTATCACCTTGTCTAACCCCATTGTAAGTACGGAAGTGACCAATTAATTTGTTACCCAGTTTAATAGAAGAATAGCTTTTAGAATACATATCCTTAACAATTGAGTAAAATTTAGTGCTAATACCAGCTTTTAGTAGTTTAAGCTTCAGACCAGCATGGTTTATACTATCAAAGGCCTTATGAAAGTCAAGAAAGCAAGCATATAGCTTCCCTTGTTTTGATTTGCAGTATTTTTCAACAAGTGTTTTCAAGACAAAAACATGATCTGAAGTTCTAGCTTGTTTTGTAAATCCTATTTGACAAGGATTGATTTTATCATTGCATTTTAAATATTTATCTAATCTTGAGTTAAGAATATAGTTAAAGAGTTTGCCAATTGAGCTGGTTATTGTGATTCCTCTATAATTGTTGGGATCATTAGTGTTGTTAGATTTGTATACTGGAGTAATGTATCCTTCACACCATGAAGAAGGATAATATCCATGAGTTAAGCAACCATTAAAGATTTTCAGTAATATTGGTACCAAGACCGTTTGACCATGTTTAAGCATTTCATTGCATATTCATTGCATATATACAGAAACGATCCACGTGGTGTTAATAAAAGAAATGCTCTTGTGCAGAGTCTTCAAAATTATTGAATGTGACATTTTCATCTCTGCAATATATTAATAAGACTGTTATTTGTACATGTAATAATAAAGAAGGTAAACATACACTGCACTTTTTTCTCTTGAACTTTAATATGTATTATGTATCAATACAAAAATACAAAACGTACAACCATTAGCAACAATATCTTTGTTACTAAAACAGACAAAAATTAAAATATAATATCAAAACAATTCTCTCATAAAAAAATGTCAATAAACATGATAAAATGGATCTTTAATTAAAGGTACAAAACCATTTATTTTTGGATGAGGATAGTCAGTATAGATAACTTGATTCAGTTTTTCAGTCATAATAAAATACCATGCCGTACCTGCATCACTTGGCAAATGGAAGACTAATATTGACCGGATGGATTTGGAATGCTGTATAATGATCTTGGATAATGCAGCAATGATGAGCGCACAGAATCAATTATGTCATGACCAAAAGATATTTTGCCTGCATACTTATTTAATATAATGGCCCATTCCTTTTGCTCTTCTGAATCACATTCAATTGAGGCTGCTATAAATTTAAGATTTTTTTTCACAGACAGCAGACTGGTAACAAACTCTAGAGTAAAAGGTGTTGACCTTCTTGCGCAGATAATTTCCAATGACTTTGCATTTAAAATAATTTGGCGAAGTATTAAAAAATCTATCTTAACTCCAGATAAATCAATACATTTGAGCGCATGAAAGTCTTCAACATATACAGCAAGCATATCTAATGATTTCATATGACAGATTTTCTGATCATAATGCCCAATAACTGTCAATTTTTTCAAGCAACTCATATTCCTCAGAAAACACAAGCTGTTTCCGAGAGCACTACAGGAAATAGAAAATTTCTCAATCATTTTAAAAATGATAAACCTGGAGTATTTACTCACTCCTGCAAAACAAAACTGACTTTTTCTGTCCAAAAATGATGCTATTTTCAATACAACTTCATCTGGAAGGTCAATCAAATTTCTGGAACAAAAAATAACATAATGACATTACTGAAATGAATAGACTTCCATTCACTTATTTTTTTTTCTCCAGAACATTTAACAGTTTTTCCATCATTTTCATCTTTTCGTCATGCATTTCTTTTAGTTCTTTCATCCTGTTTTTTTGTAAATCAACTTGCCTTTCCTCGTAACCCTCGAGCCATTCTGTAACCCCAGCTGTCTTCCTTTTCCTGTTTTTGGTTTGTTTTTCTTTGGATCTTTGGGGCTGTTCATCAGAACTAGAAGATTCTGGCAATTGAGAACTTTCACTGGGACTGCCTGAGAGGCTTCCAATTGTAAATTTTGGTCTTGATCCTGCCTTCATCCCGTATAGTTCACTGAATTCCTCAAAAAAGGCGCAGGATTTTCTATCGTTTCCACTTTTGCTGTTGTGATCAATTGTAGCCCTGTATTCCCTTTTCAGTGACTTGTATTTATTTTCACACTGTTTTGCTGTAACAACACATCCATCATTTTTCAACTCTTTTGCAATTTTCTCCCAAAGTGTCTTGTGAGACCTTGCTTCAGAAAAGTCCTTCTCCAATTTCACTCTTTCATGAAATAAAAGTTGTGTGTCTTTCTTACTCCACACTTTGGGCAAATCTTTCTCAGCTGCAAAATAGAGTACAATTGTACTTTCATATTAAAAAGAAAACATTTTACTTCATATACATTTTCAATAAAAATGATATTTTCACATATAGCATACATGAAAGAGGTAAAAGACTGCAATAACCATAAATTAACTTTCAATAATGATATTGACCTCAAATTTACACCAAATACTTTGACCTTTACAATTGAACATCAATGAAGATCGAATCTAATTGTTAATTGAATAACAAGCGAGATATCTGGCTGAATTAATTAAGACATGCACACATGTGCAAGATACATATGAGGCAAAACAAAAATTTTAAAAAAGCTATTTCTTCAGTATGTCTATATTCAATGTAAATTGTTTTTAGGAAACACATTTACTGAATATTTCAATTTGTATTTTTTCATAATATCTTTATACATATTATCTTACATGTGCTTGGGTCAGAATTCGATTCAGGACTTGGCATTGGTGTTTTCGGACAGCCTGCTGAAAAACAGAATACTCATACTGAAGGACAAAGGTTGTTTGGGGAATTTTTATCCACGGTTTTACAAAAAATCATTCAACATTCATTACACATGTAGAATTTATTAATTACTGTTAGACTTTTTTGTAAGATAAATGATTTTGCCATGATGAAATGTTCTTTCATTTAAAAAAAAAAGATTAAATAAATTATATATTAATTTCACTTACTATGAAATTCTGGACTAGATGATATGTTCGAGCAAACATCAACCAACGTCTCATTCTGTTTCTCTTCTGTAGCCGGGCATGCTGATGTAAAAATAAAAATTTCAATCTGATAAAATCTTGCATGAATTTATTATAAATTGACCTATGAATTTTCTTTTCTGCTCATGTACATGTAACAATTAAGGGGCAACTTTTGCCTTAACAGTCAAAATATTTACTAATTTTACAAATCAGTTTTACAGGCCTCTCACCAATAACTATTGCATATTCAGATTAACACCCTCATTTTGATATTAGGTTACATAATTGAATTGGTTCAAAATTTGGTAAATTTGGCAATTAATTTTGACATGAGTGAGGATGTTAAAGTGTACCAGCTCTTTTATTAATCTGGGTACCAGCTAGTTTTATATACATGTATTCAAGCAGGCCTGTAGGAAGCGATTTCAGTTGGAGAGCACAACTCAAATTTTGAGGGGGGGGGGCACAACAATTTTTGTTTTGTAAAATGACACAGTATAGGTTATATTAATACGTGTTATACTAGTACCTGGTAAAGGAGCACCTGTTTCCTTTATGTTCTTCTTGATTTCAGCCATTAATTTCATGTCTGAAAAGTTAATAATCAACTTCATTCACTGTAATTTAGTGTATCATTCCATCCCCTAAGTTGGGCAAAGGGGAAAAGGTTTATTGATAATGAAATTTAATATGCATTTGCATGCATATATGTATATATATTCTGTTCTGTTGACAGAAAAATATGCATAAAATTATGTTTGCCTAATAATAGTGTATTTAGAATTATATCACTAGTTACTATACATTTTCCACTTACCGCCTTCCTGTAGCTTAGCAACGATGGGAGCCGGTAACACTACTGTGTAATGTCCTCGTCCGGGTAAACTAGAGTAACTTCTCGCCAATAACTATCAATGATAAAATACATATTTTTTTTTTTTACAATTGTTATCATGTAGTCATTCACATTAGCGTCACTAGCTAAGCGACTCGATCAGTTCGTCGGCGACGAGCGAATCCATATTTTTTATATGCCCTCAGTTCGAAAGTACTTGCCAATATCCTTATTTACTTATTAAAATGTTGATTTAATTCTAAAATCTTAACAAAACATCTGCCTCACCTCACTTTCCCTCCATTGTCCGCCATCTTTGTTCTTGTTAACTCTTGCCAAACTGGAGAGTATGTTCGTGACCTAATTATACAACACGCGCGTCGTGTTCGAGGTGTTTGATTTAGAAATCCGACTCGAGAGTTGCAGCCCGTGTTTAAATCAAATACCGTAACGCCCAATTATACAACACGCGCGTCGTGTTCGAGGTGTTTGATTTAGAAATCCGACTCGAGAGTTGCAGCCCGTGTTTAAATCAAATACGCCCAAGGAGTTTAACTATATGAAGTTTGGAGATAATAATTACCGTAACTTTCAAAATTTCAAAATGGATTAATCTTTTGAACGACTGGGAACTTTCAACCGAGTTAAATACACGTATTTTAATTTAGTTAAAGGCTAAGAAATAGCTTAACATGTTCATTTTTCTGTAGTTACAAACTTGTGAAATAAATTCAATTTTTTTCTCATGACCTGATTTCTGCCTCCTGCAGTGATATATGAAGGGGGGTGGAAAGTATTATCGCATATGTGATATGGGATATATCACCACAGAAAGATCAAAGAAAATCACCGCAGATATGCGACAAATGCAAGGTAAAACACGGGTAGTATAATATCATAAAAACGGGTCATGATCAGTACATGGTGGGATATTTTATGAATTACAGAACA